CCGACGAAACAGTTTGTCACAGCCCCTCGTTTGTTGTCCTCTTCTCTCTCTCTGCCTACGGTTTTACCGGGCAGTTCTGTTTGTGACGATATATGGGCACAGGCATTTGCCTGGGGGGTTCGGCCCACTCATCAGGAGGCTGAACCCTTGACCGTCCTGCAAAACTCCCTAAAGTTGCAGGTTGGGTTGATCGTAACCACTGCCCCACAACTGATGTACCGAGGTGGGGACCAATCCCTGCCATCTAGGGCGTACTTGTGACGTATGTGTATGAAGGGGTGTGAACCTGCAGTCTGTAGAGTCTTCCATCTACTGTGAGTGAGTGACAGTCCGTATTGATTTCCGTTACAAGTACCCTTGAGTCCATAGTGGTTGGTTGGTGCCCAACCGCGAACTGGGGTCAAGTTGTCGAATTGCATTACTTTGTTTTCCTTCTTTTTTGTCGACAGGCAACAGTGTTGAGGTATCGTAATTGAACGACTGAACTGACCGGCCCGATGTACTTCAGGATTTCAGAGTCTGTTCGTCTGATTCCACCAGGATTGGAACTCAGGTCTGCTTAGCAACAGTTACATGGGTGCACCCCCATACCGCCACATGGGCTGCGTCTGTGTATGTATTCAAGCATCTGGGGGTGCTCCCCCCTCCGCCACCGCTCTCAACCTCAAGCTTGCCACTGTGTTCCTTTGCCCTTCTCTTTGAGAGGAGCCGGGGGGGGGAAGAGGGGCGGGGGGGGGGGGGGTTGAATAAATCCATTATGGAGGTCGTCGAAGGAACCATGGGTGAACCTAACCTGCATCTGTTTGTTGTTCCCAGGGAAAAAAATAAAAACCTTGGACCAGGGGGTAGTTCTTAATCTAATCCGAGAAAGTTCTTGATCTGGTTTTCTTCCAGGGGTTACAGGATGACCTTATAGGTGGTGGTTTTCCTAGGTCTGTTTTTTGGTCATGTTTTCGCAAGTTTGGTTCTTTTGTAGATGTGCATGCTCACTGACTATGTTTCATGCGTTTCATGTTCGGATTGCTTTTTTGCGTTCCATGTGTCCTCGCTTGCGCAGAAAGAGGGTCCTATGTCAGCGCATGAGCGTCACATGGCGAAGATGGAAAAGCGCGCCAAGGAACTGGAGGCGGCAAATCTGCGGAGAATGGACGTGTGGGCTATGAGAGGGGAGGTAGGTTTTCTATTTTCGTGTGCTTCTTTGTTGCTTTGCCTTTCCTCGTTCATTCTCGTTCACACTTTGACCTAGAGTGCATGCACATGGAATGCCACTCATTTTTTTCGAGTCCTATTATCTCTTGCACTCGTCACTACTCAGATCTCTACAAGGAATGGGCAAATGACTGCCAGCTTCGTGAACCCTCGTGTGGATTCCTTGAGCGAGAGTCCATATGGGTTTTGATTGGGGTGCTTGTTCTTTGTTCTTTGTGACTTAGACCTGGCTTCAAACTCATTGTTCCAAGTTGCTGTCCAACGCGAACACTGGGTTTCAACTTCCACTTATTGCTCGTTTAGATGCGCACTCACTGGTGAGCAGTGAGTTGGAGCCCGGTGTGTATGTCCATGTGCTGTGTCGTAGTAGTGTGTTGATTCTCGTTACTAGCTAGGCTACCAGCCGGGTCACCCGGGTCACCCTATTTTCCCGGACGGCCCGGCCGTGCAAGGATTAGGGAAGGTCCCAGCCAAAAAAAAAAAAAAAAAAAAAAAA